TAATACAATTATAAATAATAATAAAATACAATAACAAATCATGCTTTTAACAACATTTTTACTACTCCCCAAAGAATACCATATAAATTAAAATTGAAATAAAACAAATAGATGATCTTTAATGCTTATAACAGAGATGACAAACTAATGTAATTGTTTTTCACTGGACAATTAAGAAACACATCTAAGAATGCCCCGTTTCTAAAAATTAAGAACTTAGTGAAATGGAGTATATCTGAAGGGGTTTCTTTCAGAAAACTTTCAAAATTAGTTTGTCAGTGCTTTTAAGGTTCTAATATGGTGTGTCATGTTCAACCAAGACAATTCCTTCATAATATATAATTCTTCAAAACAATGTCAATTCAGTTGAGGATGGTGAACTATTTGTTTGACTTTTTAAAAAAATCAGCCCCTATACTGGTGGCATTTTCAAGGGTTAAAACTTAGAGGAGGGAACCACTGCTTATAGGGAAGAAAATAACTATCTTAAATTTTTATCTTTTTCAGTTTTATATGCTCTTTCAGTGTGATTTACGGTCTGCTGCTTTAAAATAGGTTTCTGTTTTTCTGAAATTCAGCATTTCCATTTGTTTGTGCTGGTTCTTTTTCAAACTTGAAAAATGAGTTTTATTGATGTTACAATGCTATGCCAAAATTCTTTTCCCACAAATATTAGTAGACTGTGGCAAATGATTGGAAAATTAACCTACGCCAATACATCATGATTCTTATTAACTTGCAAAGGTTTCATTCCTTGATTTTGGCTTAATATCTCTTACAATTGCATTAAATTTAGAATCATGGAATTGTTTAGATAGAAGGAACCAATGCCATTATTTTACATAGTATTTAAAACTTGCCCAAAGTCACAGAACCATTGGAAACAGCCAAAATTTGAGATCAAATCTACTGATGGTCTAGTTGTTTTCACTATTCCACATTTTATATCTAAAAGTTCTTTAAATTAAAATGGCCTAAAAGCTGCTATAAAAGTTTGTGTTATTTATTTATTCTTTCCAGACTGAGAAAATATTCATTATAAATTAGTAGGAAAAATATGTATAATTTATTATTTTAAATCTTTAACTAAAGTTAAAAAATGCAAAGGAATAATTCTAGGAATTATATATATTATATATCATATATACTATTCATGGTGTACATTATTTTCATATATTAAAAATGTATTATATCTCTCAAATAGTATTTATATTTTATGTATTTATATGACAGAAATAATTTATATTTATGCACAAGACTACATTTATTTACATTAAACATATATTATTAAAATATGTATATACATTATATATGCAGAGAGATTAACTGAATTTTAAAAAGTAAAGATAAAGCATACAAATAAAATAAAAAGATTACTGAAGAAAACTTTATACTATGTGTTCTCTCAGGTCTCTTCTGATTAAATCTTAATCTATGAAAATGTCCTTAAACTTTGAATATAAATATATGTATAAAGTATGTAGATACTGGAGAGATGTTTTACTTTTATACTCAAGTTCATGCTGAATTTTTCATATATAAAACTAATATTTTTCAGTTCTTAAAATTTAAAAAAAAATTTTAGTTGACACATAATAATTGTACATATTTATGGGGTGCAGTATGATGTCTCAATACACGTACACATTGTATAATAGTCAAATAATGGTAATTAGCATAGTAGTATTCGAGACAATCTATCACTTCAAATATTTATCATTTCTTTGTGATGAGAACATTCAAAATCCTCTCTTCTTATATTGAAGAGATATCTGCACAACTGTGTTTATTGCAGCAGTATTCACAATAGGCAAGATAAAAAATCAAAGTGTCCATTGACAGAAGAATTAATAAATAAAATATGGTATATTTACACAGTGGAATATTACTCAGCCATGACAAAAAGGAATAAAATCCTGTCATTTGCAGCAATGCAAATGGAACTGGTGGTCATTATGTTAAGTGAAGTGATCCAGGCACAGAAAGACAAGTATGGCATGAACTCACTCACTTGTGGAATCTAAAAGGTTGATCTCATAGAAGTAAAGAGCAGACTTGTGGTTGTCAGAGGCTGAGAGAAGTAGGGAGAAGGAGAGGATGGAGAGAAATTGCTCAGTGATACAAAGTTACAGTCAAGTTGGAGCAATAAGTTTTGTTTAAGTAAACAGTGGAGAAAAAGAGGATGGAGAGAAATTGCTCAGTGATACAAAGTTACAGTCAAGTTGGAGCAATAAGTTTTATTGTTTAAGTAAACAGTGGAGAAACTGTTTCTTTGTGGAATAGTTTTTTTCTTTTTAAGGGGTTTTGTTATTGTTTCTACAGAAAGGTAGTTTTTTGTCCTTAAACGTAATACTAAAATTTACTGACATTTTAAAATCTGCCTTCCAAATAAAATGTTATGAAATAAATATAGGTAAAGGTCAAGAGAAATCATGAAAACTACAATATCCCTTATTAGGGCAACATATATATTATTTTAGTAGATATATATATAATATACACATACTATAAGTCTGAAGGTACTTCAAAAAGTTTACGGAGAAAAAGAATTGAAAGATAATACAAATCTTTCCATGAGCTTTTTGAAGTACTCTAGTATTATATATATATTTTATATATATGCACACTATATATGGGTGTGTATATACACACAATATCCCTTATTAGAGTAATTTTAATATAAGATATTATATGTATATACATATAAATAGTGTTTATATATATTATGTATATTGCATATACAATAACAAAACAATTCTAAGAAGTTATAATTATATACAAGCTGTCTTTTAAAGTCTGAAGCACTTTATGTTTTTCCTCAAACATAATCTAAATTTAAAAAAATCTAAGAATCAAAAAAATTTTTGAAAATCAAACAGTAAACCTTTTACTGATGAGAAAGGTAAACAGTGCAGAAACGTTTTTCCAACTTCAAAATTGTAGTGTAAGAGTTCTTATTAGAGGCTATTTGTTTGAGACATTCCATCTGCTATTGTTATTTGTGTGTCTCACATTCATTTTGAGAAGAAAAATACTTACTTTTAATCTCTGTAGTCTCAAATTATGTATTGGTGTTTCATGGTTTTCTGTTTTGTTTTCTTTTATAAGTGCTTATGTTGACAACTGACAATTTCTAACTTTAAATAATGTTTTTTGTGTTTGACGTTAGGAAGAATAGGAGGAGAAATTTGTACTGCTGGCTACACGTGATCTGCATCTATTTTAATATTCATTGTGCTATTTGCCTTTCCCTGGGAATCTCTGGCAGGGTAAAGGGAAGGTCTACTTGGGCACTAAAACTCTTCCACCTAATAGGCAAGGATTGTGGTGTCAGCTACACTGCAGCAACAATTTGTCCCTATATATCAACATTCTTAAATCCACATATTTTCATTTGAAATGTAAAGGAATTCCTAAAAATGTGAACACCTTTGTTCAGTCACTTGTAAACCATTTTCCTCTTTACACTCCAATTTTCCAATCTTTCATTCCAAAGCACAAGTTAAACCATCATTCCTGACTGGTGGTTATCTGTAGAAGGCAGCATAATTTAGGATTATAAGAGACCATTAAAAGAAAGTAAAAACTTAAGGAGACCTAAAGTTGTTCATATTTTGACCTTGATATACCTTTCACTTCATGGTCATTGTTGGTAAGAATCTCAAAGACATCTTATAAACGAGGGGTGCCATAAATATCACACTAAACTGAAAATAAAATTTGGTTTCTAGTCACTATAACATCTGGGAGGTAGTTTTGTTTCAATTTCATTTTTAGACTTTGGACACATCACTCAATTTATGGGCCTTAGGACTATTGTTAAAAATGCATGGCTCATAATCAGATGTTTTTATATTTGGTTACTTTTTATTATTCTATTAATTTTATGCTTAATTAAAAAAAAGAGTAAGTAATGAAATCTAAACCAAACAACACTTAGTATATTTTATTGGTTACTAGAAACTTCAGATTTCTTTTAAGTGTTATTCTCTACTATAAATTGAACTTTACTTTTAAAGTACATTTAGCATAATAGCATGTCCAAGGAAAGATTAGAAAAATATCCTTCTTCTCTCTCTTGCTTAAGGAAAGAGACAGAGTCATCTGGAGATGGGTTCTATGTTGTGGGGTAATGCAGTCTTTAAATAAATGGAATAATCACACATTTATGAAACAGAACAAACTGATATAAAAGCTTCCTCCAAAGCTGTTCTCATAGGCCTTGGCTGGGCTAGTGCTGGGTGACATTTGGGTGAGACCTAGAAGGAATCATATTCCCTCAGTACATTTCACTAAGATGAATAAATATGAATGTGTACAAATAGTTCTCTTTAACAACTTTCTTTCTTAAAAGAACACATGAGTCTGAATTTTTATTAGTCATTTTGTATTTTTTAAAAAACCCTATCATGAAACTGCATATCTAGTTAATAATGCTCCTAATAGAAGTTATTGAATTAATGTAAAACACAAAATGACAACAAAAGCAAAGCAAAAAAGACACTTTACTCTTAGAGATTTGCAAGTGACATCAAATAGTGCTTAAAGGACTTTTTATTTGATAAGTNCTTGGCTGGGCTAGTGCTGGGTGACATTTGGGTGAGACCTAGAAGGAATCATATTCCCTCAGTACATTTCACTAAGATGAATAAATATGAATGTGTACAAATAGTTCTCTTTAACAACTTTCTTTCTTAAAAGAACACATCAGTCTGAATTTTTATTAGTCATTTTGTATTTTTTAAAAAACCCTATCATGATCTGCATATCTAGTTAATAATGCTCCTAATAGAAGTTATTGAATTAATGTAAAACACAAAATGACAACAAAAGCAAAGCAAAAAAGACACTTTGACTACTCTTAGAGATTTGCAAGTGACATCAAATAGTGCTTAAAGGACTTTTTATTTGATAAGTTCTAGGCTTAAAAGAAGACATCCTTATTTTTATATTTTATTATATCTATGGGAAAATGTCCTAGAGAGACAACATTGATTTGGTTATCTTGAATTGATTATTTTTCTAGTAATTATCAAAGCAAAATATTCAATGGGATTTCCATTATTAACTTTTAAAAATGTTAAAACTTTAAGATTTTATTTTACTAAACCCTCCTGTGTAAAACAGTTAATATTTTCTTAATCAGTCATAGCTATAATAAAACAAAATTACAAAACTGTGTGTCAAAATAGACTGATATTTCGTATCCACAAATAAGCTATACTCACCAAATGGGCAATGGCAATAATATGAATCCACACCACTTTGGCAGGAACCACCATTAAAGCAGGGGTTGCATTCACAGTAATTGATGGAAGATTCACACATTTTCCCTAAAATGTATCAAACTTGTTAAAAAAAAAAGTCTTATGCACAAATACATTAACATCATTACAGTGAAACCATGTGTAAAAATCTATCTTGAGGAATTATAACTCGAAGACACATGAAAACATTTTACTTGATATAAGGAAATTGGAATATCTCAAAGTTCAAAATCTTATTTAGTTGTCCTAATGTAAAGATCTGCATTATAAAATTTAGGAAATAATTTACATAATCATCTTGGAAGAAAATACTGTTTTCAGGAAAATTACATGATGAACATATTTAAATACTTTCAGCATTTACTGAATTTATTTTACTTGCTGATGTCCCTTCATCTTTTGCATTTTATAGATGGAAAGTTGGAACTTTTACAATATTCTTCTCACTGTAGAGATTTCATTGATTCAGATTTTCAAAGGTAAGAATTAGTCTTACTTAGCTTATTTGTCAAACAATTCTTCTGCTCTCAAGAAAAATCTCCTGACTTATACATAGTTGTTGTAAAGCAGAATAAGAAATAAGAAAACATAAAACACATTAAACATACTTTCAAATACTTACTAAAATTTATTTACAACTACAGAGTATGTATAGTTTGTCCTTTTTCCTAAAATGGTAATACCTAAGCAACATATTTTTTAGTTTATAAAGACTTCTCATTCATCTTCTTAAATTGAATCAGCCAGTATTGACTGAGTGCTCACTATGGGCTAGGCATGATTGTGGATGGGGATACGGCAGTGAAGAAAGCAGACAAGTGTCTTGACATGATGTTTTCATTCTAGGGGGGAAATTAATCCATACAAAGGAAACATTTACCTTTTGCGGGTGAAGGAGAAATGGCCCTTGGAGGCTAATATTGTATCTGAGAAATTGTAAAATTATGAAACAGACCGATTCAGGTCTTCTCCCATATCTAGGTTTCCCAAAGCTATAATTGAATAGTTGATCACTTAGTACACAAACCTTAGGGCATATGTCCCACTTGTTTTTGTTTTTGTTGTTTGTGTTCAGATAAACTTAAACATGTTCTAATATCACTATTCTACAACTTTAAATTATTACAATAATTTAATATATTAGGAAATCTCTAGGTTTTCAATTCTATAAAACGGTGATATGTCATAGAGTTCTTAGTTAATTTCCATTCATTGACAGCAGGTTCACAATTACTGTCGAGTTTGTTTCTGTAAAGCTATTTTCTACTTCCCAACATAATTGCACTAATGTATTTATTAGATATCTCATGAAATCATATACATTTTATATGCACAAACAGACCAGATGTTCAGATACCCGATGCATAGATAATACCAGATACCTGATGCATACTTAATCCATTTCATCATAATAACTTTGCTTAAAACATAGTCAAAGTTTTGTTTAACTTAGTTCTGTTTTTGTGGCTTGATTATGTAGCCACAATTGTTCTGCTCTGAAATTATAAGTGTGAGTCAGACCTTATGACATGCTAACTAAGCCCATTTCTGTACCTCATAGAATCATAAACACAACATTTTTTCCTTTATAAATAAAATTGAACCTCCTTACAAGGCAAAACATTGAGCTAACAATTTCAGTATGTCTTTCTATTCTAAGGGAAGAATGTGAAAATAAAAAAGTTACCAATCTAGAGGCACAGAAATTAGTTTTAAGTATTGTAGCAGTGTGTCAAATTTGAGAAACAGGCTGGACAACTTTACTGTAGGCTTGTGCTTGATTTCACACCAGAGGGATGCTAGTTTCATAGAACTCCCTCCTTTGCTGTTCTCCAACTGGATATGTGACAGACTATTTCAGGGATGTGGATTGTTTTTTCTCAATAAAACACAAGCATTGCCCAATAGAGAATAAATAAGACCTACAGGCTAATCTTTTGATTATTTATTTGCCATCAGGGGAGTCATGTCCCAGTCCTTCCTTTTTTTTTTTTTTCTTTTCACTGTAAAAGCATACACCATTTTAACATGTGCTACTGGAATAAGTACAGTATTCCTTTCTTTTTCTGAAAATTCCTTTTAGAATTGTGTTAAAAGTAACATGTTAAATAAATAGATTCATATACTTTGTAGATGTGGTCAATACAGTCAATACAACCTTTAGATCATGAAACATGTCAGTGGGTTACAATATTGCCAACTTCACTTCTTAAAGACTGGAAATGGGGAACCAAGGATAACAAATTTAGGGGAGTACTGTCATGTGCACTTACTCAAATACGTGGACACATGTGCTCTCTAAGAAAAAGATATAACAGTATAAAAACCCAAGTCACTGATTCTATAAAGTTCAACTATATTTTTAAAATCTTGTTTGGAAAAACTACCTTTTAAAACCTTAGTTTAAATAAAAACAAAAAAATTTTAGGTGTTCATTTTGCGTGTAACTTGTATAAATCAGTTATTTATTTCTTACAAAACTATATTTTAACACAGATTTCTGAGTTCAATTTAAAGACAAACTATAGGCTATTGCAGTTAGTGAAAAGTGAGGGGAAGGAAAACACTCTAAAATAAATAAGATTTGCTCATGTGCTAAAACCTACGATGACTAAAGAAAATGAAATGTTTACACAAACTAAGAAAATCCAGAAAAAATTTAGTTTTGAAAATGAATTTCTTTTAAAATTTAAATTCTCAGCAGAATCTGACTCTTCAAGTATTTGACAATATAAATAAAAATTGGTAAAGAAAACAAATTCAACTTTTCATTTAACACTTTGGTTTATAACAGTTTTATTTTCTTATTTTTCTTTAGTAGATAATTATCAAAATGTATCAAATAGATTTGCAAGGGGTTAAATAAAAAAAAATATTGTCCAGTTTGAAAAAAATAATCTTATTTGTTGGTGTTAGAGTATGTAAATTGTTTACCATTCAATAACTTCAGTTCTCCATTTAACAAGTAAAATTTATATTGTCCAGTTTGAAAAAAATAATCTTATTTGTTGGTATTAGAGTATGTAAATTGTTTACCATTCAATAACTTCAGTTCTCCATTTAACAAGTAAAATTTTTTTTTTTACAATTCATAAACTCAAAGAGGTGCCATACTAGATAGTTAGATGTAAAGACGCAGCTTGAAATTTTTAAATTACTGTTCAAAGATCTTTGTGTGTGAGAGAGAAGTATGTCATAATTTTAATCAGAATCAAAAGCAAGCCTCTAAATGCATATTTTGCTGGTTTGGAAAGTTCATGCTCTATTATCCAATTAGAAATTAACAACACATTCTGTATGGTTCTGCACAGGTCTATCTATTGTAGTGGTAATGGCATAATGATTATCAGAGAATGCTGCAGTTTGAATTAGTTTAACATGCTACCGGTAAAATAATCTGATGTGTTGGAGCACTGACAAACAAAATCTTGGATCATTAGCTTAATTAATGCTTTGAGTCAATTAACAATACTTGTCAGTGCCTTCAGGCTTGGAAGTGTACTAATAGGACTTGCACAAAGAAAGGCACCCATGCTTCTTGAACTCAGGGGCCTTTTTCTATTATATGTTTACTGCCACAGCAGCTGTTTAGAAGAAAAAACTGATATCATTGCTTTGACACTCATCAACTAATTGTGTTAACATAAACTATTTATCATAGATAGAAGGAGATATACTTCAGACAATGTAAATTCTTAGCCCATGAAGAATGGGAATTGCTAAAGATGAAAATAAATGGATAACAGGAGATTAGGGAATATATGGACTTTCCAAGATATACTTAAGACTTACAACAGAAATTTAGTCTATTTCTTCATGTTCAGGGGCAGAAGATGTGATGACGTGTTGAACATAAACTGAATCTTTGTGATCACCTATGATCTTTTCAACAAGGATGTATATTCAGTTTTCACTTGTCCAATAGCACATTTTAATATTAGATCGCATAGAGCAGAGCTGAATTTATTCTCAACTCAAATTTGACCACTCATGAGGATATGATGACATTTAATATCCTATAATTCATTTAGACTTAAATTTAATATTTTAGATCATGTATAAATTAGACATGAGTATTGTTTTTGCATTTCTTGCATTTATACACAGCGGAGAAGGGAGAATATGTGCAACTATTAAAGTTCATTTTATATCTAAATAGGTTATTTTACTAACAAATATAGTTCTATAATATATATATGCTATTCATTCTGAATATTTATGCTTATAATTTTTTTTATTTTAGCATAAAATAGCTGGTTTTTGCAAACTAAGTAAATGTTTCCCTGTATTGTTAAAAGGTCTGTGAAGATAGTCCATTTAAATATCCTGCTCAATAGCATTATGGTTTTTTACATTAAAAAAAAAAGAAAAAAGGCTATGTTGTAATAAGTGCTGCCAGTAAGAAAAACATAAGAAAAAAAAAACACCTTTTTTATTTTTGTATTCTTAACGAACACAAATATAATCTCAATGAAACTACAAATGGTTGTGTGTAACGACATACATAATATTCATTATAAGCTTACAAATGCCTGCTTATTTTCTGCAGAAATAAGAAGCATTTAATCCACTAGAAACCTAAGGCATTAATTCCTAAATAAGTTAATGTATCATCTCAAATAACCTGTCTAATTCACTTCCACTCTTGGAAGTAAGGTCAAAACAAGAATTGAGCCCTTTATCTCTCTTACATGAGCCACTCTTCTGAATCTTATAGAAAATTTCACTTCATATTTATTCACTGAATTTCCTTTACATACTATGGTTTTGGGTCACATGATCATCAACATTAATATATGACAGTAGTGATTTTAAAAGAATGACACTTAGTTACTTCTTCCATCTTTTTGAAAGCAAACATTTGCCAAGTTTCTCAGTAAAATTATTATGTACAGCCTGTATATAACTTTTTATGTCTGAAAGAATATTACTGTTTATACTGTCAAATGACATAAAAATGATGAATGGACAAATAGCATCTTCCCCTGAAATATTAAGACTAAGTTGAGAACATAGGAAAACTTCTCCATATAGTAATAAACCCCTGGCATTATCGCAAATACCAC